ACAGATAGGCTAAACAATAACCTAGAAGCAAGCCCAACAGTATAGAAAGTTTTTATGAGATCTACGTATATGAAATGAACAGAATTTTGTACTTTCCTTTAATTTGAAGACACAAACAATTCACATGAAACACAACCCAAGCCAAGGAAAAGGAAAATCAACTTAAAGTGGAGAATGAACATCAAGAGCAGAAGAAAATGACATATTTTACTTAAAAAAAGGAATACATGAATCAACCTGCACACCAGCATAGCGCTTCCAGGCTTTGTCTAGCTTGTAATCAGTGGAAATTAGGCGATAGTTCGACAGTGCAAGTTCATAGTCTCGTAACATGAATGCATAGTCACCCAAAATTCTAATCTGAGATTCAACTGAACTAAAGGTATACCTATGAACAGTGAAAATAAAAGTAACTTAGGATAACTCAGGAAGAAATGAGAAACAGACTTGAAATTTGATGAATGAACATCTACACTTACACAGGACCATTTGGGGAATCTGATGCATCTTCTTTCCCTTTCCTCCACCATAAGTTTTTAATTTGATTCCTAAAACCTTTCCTTGTAGCAGAAACCTAATTGCAATGAAACACGACAAGAGGAATAAGGACACGGAAGAGTAATTAAGAAATAAAACATAATTAAAAAAAAAACAACAAAAGCATTACATGGGCATCTGGATATCAACAGTAGGAACAAATGTTCGATTTAAATACCTGCTGGTTCAATATACGTATCTTTTGTTCCATGAAAGGAATGATGTGTTTAGACGATAATTCTTGCATGAGATCTTTTATCTGTTCCCAAATTATGCAAACATAAGTAGAATTACAAGCAACATTGTCCAAGAATATCAGATCAAGCTATTGAAAAAGTTACCTCATTAAAGTCATCAATATTGAGGAAACAACCAAGATTTTCAGTAGGTAAAGCATCAGATTTCTGTCAAAAAAGTACATGAATTAAAGCATTAGAATAACTTTATTGAATACTTTTCTGGGTACCTTAAACCAACAGAAGATTCACCTAATATTTTCCTATGAACAAGTAAATAACTGAAAGATAATTATCCTTCAAAGTAGATTAACTTACAAAAGGCGCCCACGGGTTCCCTTGATGATGGTTCTGCCCATCTTGAGAAGAATTAATACAAAGTAATTGACAGTCATTTGGGCCAAATGTACTCTTCATCTGAGTCAAAAGTTTAGTAGCCCTGCAAACATAAAAGAAATCAAGACAACTTTTAAGTTTCAACTGCTGCAGATCTCAGCATGTCTTCACTGTCCTCACATAGCATCTGCTTTAATTAACTGAAATAAAATATTATTATTGAATCTATATCAGGTCTTTAGCTTCCTTTTAGTAATCATATTATCAAAATCAAACCACAATCAAGTAGAACTTACAACAGAAAATCCTGCTTGGCATGAGATGAAAGAGAATTTGGTCAGAAATTTGGCTTCCCCAGCCTAAGCAAAAGCTCAATCTGTTTCATTTTTCATATGATGATGATTTATTTTCCTACAGCTTCTCTGAGGATGTTTTCTACAAAAAAATCATCTATCTTATTCCATGTACTATGGGATTCTTTTATAAACTAGGTTCTTCATACATGATGGGGCATCTCTTTCCAGATTTTGCTATTCAAACTAAGGTTCTCACTTGTTCTCCACTTGTTGTCATTTCTTAATATATACATCAGGTTTGCAATCTAATATATTCAATTAGGTGATGCTTAAATATTCTTGCAAGCCTTACATGCAGCCCTTTACATGTCCAAGTAAGAAAGTAAGGAAAAACAAATATCTGCACATCGCTCCACTAACTTAAAAGATAAAATGAAAAGTTAAACCTAAACAGGCAAGCATGTCCCTCTGAAATTGTAGAGCAGTGTTTAACAGCATGTTGTCATGCTTATTGCACTTAACAATTTCAAACATAGTGAGATAAGATAGGGCGGCATACTTCTCTGAAGCACCATCTTGATTATCATGCACCAGTAAGTAATGCTTCAAAACCTTTGGGTCCATTGCACCGTCATTAAGAAGAGAGGGTAATTTGTTGGTATTAAAAAGGTCTACAAATCTGTTTATGGGTTCCTCATCCTTAGAAGAAACAACCAAAAGGCCTGCAAACCGTTGTGGACATGAAACAATCAACAGCAGAATGCAATATGATGTCTAAAATGAATATTTTAAAGATCCCATAAGCCGAATGAACAAGATTAGCAAAGCTTAATAGCAAAGGGGAAAAAAGAAAGAAAGGTATCTAACTAATTTCAAGTGCTTACATGCTACAGGATGATCAAAAGCTTCATGGTCAGAAAAACACAAGGTACGTACAAGCTCTTTGTTAAAAAACTGAAACCATGATGGTACAATTTCAGATTCAGGCCCTGCATAAAACATTCACATATATAAATCAAAGCAGCTATGTACAGTTAAAAAAAGTAAAAGAAAAAGGGCATGCTAAGAGACCAGAGATCAGACAATCTCAATAGCATGTGAAAAATGAAAAACTAGCCTCAACGAAACAAGATGCTAATAAAAATGACAACAATAAACTGAATAAAATGATACCCACCAAAAAATAAATATAACAATGTACTTACTAGAGAGAAGATCGTTAACTTGAGGTGGGTCTGACAGCATTTCAGAAAAATCTTTCTCTCCTGCCTGGGTAATAACCTGCTTTAGCCTCTCCTTCGCTACCTGTTTGATCAACATTTATTTTGAAAAAGAAACCAACAAGAAGACAAAGAAGAAAATTTATCACATCATTGATATTTCACACACACAATGGAGCTCGAATCAACCAACTTTTATCCCAACTGAACGAAAACCCACCAACTTCCTTCATCTGTTAATTTTGCAATGCATAGTAAATCTCTCCCAATCAGTTCAATTAAATCGCAGATTCCAATAATTAATACTTTATCAAAGCTTACGAATTAATGTCAGGTATATTTAAACAGAAACAGCTCACGGTAGCTTCCAACTCAACTAGTAGCCTACCAGCCCTGTTGATTCCTAATAGCCAAATTTCCATTATTCTCCAATTCGAATTCAATAAAGATTGAATTCAAGTAATCTTCACCTACTCAAAAATTTTTAAAACAATTAAGAAAAATAAAGAATGCGGCTGTATCACACAGCTATAAAACCGGTAATCCCAAGAAAAATAACCTCAAGATTGGGTTGTCGAATATCCGAGGCATAAAACAACCGCAACTTGAACTTCTGCAGCCTGTAAGGTTGATCACTCGCCGTCCGTACAGGCACTGCCACCACAATTTAGATAAGCAATTAATAAAAAAAAAGTAATCACCTCACAATTCAACGTAAATATACAGAAAGCTACGTATAAATGTATGTATAAAAATTCATTGACAGAGTCTGAAATTATCACCGTCGATATTGGTGAAATTGCAGAAAGGGGAGAGCATTTGGATGAAGGAGAGGCCGTTCTTGAGGCAAGATTCTTCCACTAGCGGAGTGCAGAGTACCATAACCACCGGAGTGATCTCCTCCAATAGCATTTTGCCAAGTGCCGTGTTCGCCGGATCCACCATCACTCTCTTTCTCTCTTTCCCTCTCCTCCGATTGTAGGTTGCCCTAATCGGCGACGGGCCGAGAGCTGTTTTTCTACAGCTCCCAGTTGCTTGAATCGGTGAGTTGGCGAGTCGAGTCGCTTTTTCAGAGGCAATAAGATAGGGCGGAGTAGCTGCCTCTTTAGCTTCTTCGATCGGATCTTTTGATTGGTGTTAATGGAGGTTTAAAGTTTTGGCGAGAGAGAATTCAGTGACGTTGGGGAAGGATGTTGTGGGCTTGTGGACCGATTTGGCATTGATAGGTTACGAACCTTTTCATGGACCATGTTAGAGTTATAAGCACCGGCTCAAATGTCGATCCGAACAAAACTTCGCTTTCGTTTCGTAAATTTGAAAAAATATTTCAAAACAAAAATGTAATCTTTTCTCTCGTTTAGAATATAAAATATTTTACAGATATCAATAAAAAATTTTCTTATCAACTTTAATGTCTTTCATCCGAAAAAGACATAAAACGTTTTTCATCTACTTTCTCTCTTTGAGATGATTGCACTTGAAAAATATTACATTCTTCCTTTTATGATATTAATCCCACAAAGTAATAAAATAACATTTTTTTTCATTTCATCTCTTTAATTGTTATTCTTTTTCTTGATAAGGTATCATTAATTATTTTTATTTAATTATTTCATAGAGATTATATTGTTATCATTATTTTTATTGAAATACTAAATTTTTTAAAATAATACAAACTAATTAAGATCAAATAAAAAATTATATAAAATAAGAAATAAGTTTTTCACACATAAAATTTCTCATTTCTTTTAATTTCTAATTTATGATTTATTAACTTCACAAACTAACTACTATAATAATATGATGAGAAATAAATAAAAAAATAAAATTAAATATTAACTATATATAACTGTTTAATATTGAAAAATATATATATTTTGGATGTATTGCATAATTTATGAGTGTTAATATCTTCATGGTGTTATAGAAAAAATTATTGAGAACAAGTCATGATAAAAAATATTTTTATAAGATAATTCAAATAATAAATAATATTTTCAGCAGTTTATACAAATAATAAAAAATATCAGATTTTTAAATAAAATATTTTATATTAAGAGATTTTCCTTTAATAAGTTATTTTACAATTATAATACAGAGCCTCTGTTACTTACTACTTACCATAAATCATTTGAAAAATAATTGTCCCAAATTTTCCAGCCATTCAAGTTCTTTAAAAAATATATATTATAACTGCGATGTAAATTAAACTTAAATTAATGGATTTTTGGAAAATCACTCAAATTAAAAATTTTATCTCCTAAATTATTGAAAAATTTTATATATTTAATTTTTTTAATTAATGGTATTTTTGTGACAGTGCTGTTGTTCACTGTGTTTGCACACGGAAGCAATAACCCAACCCACCGCTCGTTCCCCACGGTGCGATCCATGTGGAATAAAACTCCATTATTTCTCTGCCTCGTATAAATGTCATGTCCCTGCGCTTGCTTAGTGCTCATAATAACCTCACTCTGCTCTTTTCTAAACGCCTCTTTCTAGTGCCTACGCCGCTGATCTCTTCATTTCCTCCACCTCAGATTTCCTCCTTCGCCATGTCTTATCGCCCTAACTACCAAGGCGGCCGTCGAGGAGGCGGCGGTCCCAACTCCGGACGCGGAGGGGGACGCCGAGGAGGCGGTGGTGGAGGTGGACGCGGAGGACGTGGAGGTGAGCAGCGCTGGTGGGACCCCGTTTGGCGTGCTGAGCGCCTCCGTCAAAAAGCAGCTGAGGTATTCGAAAACTGTAATTTTTGTTTTCTGTTTGAAATTGTGTACTGAATATATGTAAGTAGTTGATTAATTTTTTACCGCTCTTAGTTTCTCTTTGGCTGTTCTTATTGTTGGCGCTTTTGATTACAAAGGTAAATACTAGTAACGATTTTGAATACTTTAAAGTTTTAAGAACTAACTTTTCTTAAATATCAAATATGATTTTACCGTGTTTGAATGAGTGCCAGTGTGTCACGTTTTACTTATTTGCTCATTTTTAATCAAATATTATTGAATCTTTCATCGTTTGCTTTTGCTTTATGACAACTTTATCAGAAGCAAAAACTGAGTGACAAAAGCAAGAACCAATCAGACCTTTATTATTGCTTTTAATGCGCTTGTGTTTGTGTTTAGATGGAAGTTCTTGATGAGGGCGAGTGGTGGGATAAGATAAATCAAATGAAAAAAGGAGAGGAGCAAGAGATGATAATTAGGCGAACTTTCAGCCGATCTGACCAGCAAATTCTCTCTGATATGACTTACCAATTAGGTCTTTACTTGTAAGTGTACCATAACAACTTAGCAACTAGCCCGGTATTTAGTTTGGAAGTGGTTTTGCCCAATCATTTTGGTTGAAGTAAATATGGTCGTGATTCCATTTTTATTACATATATATATATATATTTTTTCTTAGTCTTTACAAATTATTTTTTTTTCCCTTGATTTTGTACTTGTGGAAAGAAAGCCATGCATACAACAAAGGGAAGGCTCTTGTGGTTAGTAAAGTTCCTTTGCCAAATTATCGGGCAGATCTTGATGAACGTCATGGATCCACACAGAATGAGGTAAACTTAGTGCAACCTATATCCTTAATGTCATTATCTTTTACTGAGTGTTCATATAAGTTCTCCTTTTCCAAATTTTTGTACAGATTCGAATGTCTACAGAAACTGAGAGGCGAGTAGGAAATCTTTTGGATAGCTCAAGGGACGCATGGTCTGCTGACGATTCTGGTGTAGCATCCAGTGGGGAAGCTACAAAACCATTGCCTGATGTCAAAAGAACTGATTCAGTTTCTACAATTGGAACAGATTCTGCCAAGGAAAAATTCAGTGCTGAACTCAAGCAAAAGCAGGAAAATTTGAAGGTGTGCATGCTTATCTTAACATGTTATGATATTATCTTTGTTAACATCCCTATATCCCAATGGTCCAGGTTGCTCTGGTTCAATATTTCTCATGTTATTTAATCTCTTGCAGGCAAGTGATAGGGTGAAGGTGATGCGGTCTTTCCGAGAAAAGCTACCTGCATTCAAAGTGAAAGCTGAGTTTTTGAAAGCTGTTACTGAAAATCAGGTCCAATACTTTGTTAAAACCCAGTTTCTCATGAATTCGGAGAGCATTAATTTTTCTTAGGTTTTACTAGCTTTCTGATGATGTGCTTGATTCTGCCAAACCAGGAGAAAGGAGGTTGATGACTAGATGCTAGTGTAAAATTATAGTTGCTTTCTTATAAACATGAAGGTTAAATAACTAGTCACAGTGGATTCTGTACACAGTACATTTTTGCAGTAATTGTGCATTTGTTTTCTAATGGAAAGAAAAGAAGAGTCTTCCTTTTGCTGGATACTCCAAATTGATCAGTGCATATATGATTTTTTAGACCTTTTATAAACTTTATTATAGGGTATTATGAAGTTATCCATGAGTTGTTTTGTTATGTTTTATTGTGGCTTGGAAGTCATGAAAATTTTGTTCTTATGCTCAAAAGCATATGCTTTCTGTACACATGCTTGTATATTTGTTTTATTGATCCTTGATGCCCGGACCATGAGTGACATAATTATCATATAAATTTCAAAAAGAGAGTTGAATACTTGAATTTATCATTAGAAGAGTAGAGGAACTTGTGTGATCAAGCTGAGCTAAAGCTTAAACTCAGCTGAAAATGTCATGCTCAAACTCAACAAAGCTTCTTTTCCGTGCTGAAGCATGACTCAAAAAATAGTTGATACCACAACATGTGACTCTATAATGCTTTGCTGTTGTATAATTACTGTAAAATTGCAATTATAAGATAAAATTTTATGCTCTGTCTTTATCTGCATATTATATATAAAATTAATTACAAATATTTAAAGCAAAAAAAGGTAGTTAATTATGCTCATGAGTTAGTTAAGTCAAGTATTAAAGTGGTCAAACTCAAACTTGATCTACTACTTGAACTATTCAAGCTCAAGTTTGACTGAATAGGGAACTAGTTGAGGTCTAGTATTCAACAAGTCAAGCATGGCTAGCTCACAAATATCTTTACCTGCATAGTCTAGAGGAACAACAAGAAGATGCCATGTAGAGCATAGTTAATGATGGAACTGAGAACTTGACATTTTGTAGATTTGGATACTTTCGTGGTCAATATTGCTATCTCTCCCTGTCCCCTCCTTCTCATCCTTTATTTTTCTTAATATTCTTGCTTTGTTAAATCATGCCAAGATAGCTTATTTACCACTTTTAGATTTCAGGTACTGATTTACGTACACAGATCAATCAAATAGTTCTGTTTATTTCCTTGGTTTAATTTGCAGTGCATAAGATGCTATTCTTTTTATTATTATTATTATTATAATTTTATTCAATGATACAGGTTCTAGTGGTTTCAGGAGAAACGGGCTGTGGTAAAACAACACAGCTTCCTCAATTTATTTTAGAAGATGAGATATCATATCTGCGGGGTGCTGATTGTAACATAATATGTACTCAGCCGCGTCGTATATCTGCCATATCAGTTGCAGCTAGAATATCCTTGGAAAGGGGCGAGAGTCTTGGTGAAACTGTTGGTTATCAGATTCGCCTAGAATCAAAGCGCTCTCCTCAAACACGACTCTTGTTTTGCACAACTGGAGTGTTACTCAGACAGTTGGTACTATTATGTCTTCTTTTGCTGTTTAAATTAAGTTTGAATCTCTAAGTTGGTATTTTCTTTGTAGTTTATTCTTTTCCAGATTTCTTGTGATGCTTTGAAATTTTTAAATTTGTTTTTCTACAAATCTGATACTTGCAGCTTGGCTGCGACATAACTTTTATGTTGTTTTTTTTTTTTTTTTGGAACTTGTATGGTGTTTACCTGTCACTGACAAATCATACAGTTTTCTCCTTTTGTTACTTAAAGTTTTTCTTGGTTACTTAAGTGAAATGCATCCTGCTAGTAAAGGTTTTTTTTTGGGATACTTAAAGTAAACTAGAGCTTTTGTTTGTTTTATGCTTGTCTTGATGTGATCAAACCACACAGTTTTCTCTGTCCATTACAGAAAGTTTTCTTGGGTGCTTTAGTGAAATGCATCCTGCTAGTAAATTTTTGGAATGCTTAAAGGCACCTGAGCGTTTGTTTGCTTTGTGTTCATCTTGATGTGATTATTGCTCCAGTCAACTAGTTGTGCTTAATTTTTGTATTTCCTGCTATGACTTCTTTTTCTTTCATTTCTATATTTATACTGAAACTGCAGGTTCAGGACCCTGATTTAAATGGTGTGAGCCATTTGCTAGTGGATGAAATTCATGAAAGAGGCATGAATGAGGACTTTCTGTTAATAATTTTGCGTGACCTTCTTCCTCGGCGTCCAGACTTGCGTCTTATTTTGATGAGTGCTACCATCAATGCTGATTTGTTCTCCAAATACTTTGGAAATGCTCCAATTATTCACATACCGGTATAGTCAGTAGTGACATTTCATAGAAGTAGGACTATGTGTTTTCTTCTGTTCTCCGCATAAACTGTATTTGCTTATCTTTTAGCATCATCATTTACTTTCTATATGCAGGGGTTGACTTTTCCTGTGGCAGAGTTATTTCTGGAGGATGTGCTGCAGAAAACTCATTATAATATCAAATCCGAGTTTGACAACTTTCAGGGCAATTCACGAAGAAGAAGGAAAGAGCTGGATTTGAAGAAAGACAATTTAACTGCACTGTTTGAGGCACGTATTGAAAGATAAATTCAATTATTGTCAGTCTCTTTGCAACTACTAAATTTTGCTAAGAATTAACGAATACAATCAAAAGTTCTTTACCTACTTATGCTGTCACTAAATTGGGACCATATATACATATATAACTGTTACCATTCTGCCAAAATTTTTTCCTTGACATATGTAATTGATAGAAATTTTTGGAAGTAAATTAATAATTTTTATAGTCCATAAATTTACCATACAGGGTCATTAATTAGGGGTCCAACAAAAGCAGGATGCTAAACCCTTTTTGGCAAACTAACTGGTTTCAAATCTAGTACTTGCACTCTTGTGCTGTTGAGCTTAATGCTTTTTCACACCACACTATGGCACCAATAAGTAAGTTTTACTAAACATTATTGTTCCACTTCCTTTTATGTATACTTACTAAACTTATAGGATAAATGTGCTTCTTGTGAGTGCACATCTTAGCTTCATTTCAGATGCGTTGCTTGCTCTTTCTCTCTCTTTCCATTTTCTCTTTGTGATAATTCATATTCCTTTTATTAGCAGTTTAGCATATATTAACCAGGGATGTAATGCTTTCATCTGGACAATGTAAATAGGTACCTTTTTATCAATAAATAGAAGAATAAGCCACTTACCATTTAGGAAATTTCTTCTTTAATTCTGTTAAATACTTATTACATTGTGGCATTTTCTTATGTAGGATGTTGACATTGATTCTCACTATAAGAATTACAGCGTATCTACTAGACATTCACTTGAAGCATGGTCAGGTTCACAGATTGATTTGGGTCTGGTATGTAACTTACTAAGTCAGCTAAATACTGTAACTTGCTTTTTTTGCTAGCTTGAAGGGAAATTTATGTAGTGTGACATTCTAATTATCATTGATGGATGTTTGTTTGCTTATTGTTTTTCTTTTGGGCCCTGCCATTTTCATGGTTATAGTGAAACAGAGTAACTTTTTGAAAAGAATTTTTTTTAGAAAAAAGGAAAGAACATATGTTGTTGCTTTTACTATATCTTTTCTTATTCTTCTTCATTTCTATTTTGCACTAACATTTTAAACTATATTTATTGTTGCTCCATGTCTAATTATGTTGCTATCACTGGAAATTTGTAGATGGAGGCTGCAATTGAATATATTTGCCGCCATGAAGGTGAGGGAGCGATTCTTGTATTCCTCACAGGCTGGGATGACATTTCTAAGCTTCTTGACAAGATTAAAGTAAACAGCTTTCTTGGGGATCTTAGCAAGTTTCTGGTTCTTCCTCTGCATGGCTCAATGCCTACCATTAATCAGCGTGAAATATTTGACCGTCCTCCCCCTAACAAGCGGTAGTGTTTCTGTCTTATTAGTTTGTTGTTTCTTGAAGGCGTATGGTGTCCATTTTCATTGGCCGCTGGCATTATAGCTTTTTCCTTTCTTCTCAAGTGTATATTTTATAGTACTGGACTCTATATTGATTAACAACAGGAAAAATGACTTTTTGCTGTTAAACTTGACTGCCTTACAATGATCTAATCACATTACCCTGAAGCAAGGATTCATATTATGAGGAAGTGGAGGAGATATTGGAATGATACTTAAACAGAGATTGGCATCTAAGATTCTTCTGCTCTTTAGTTGAATAATCACAACTAATTTTTATGGACCCTTTGACTTGTAAACCCTTTTATTTTCCCTATGTTTACTTATATGTCGGGTTTGAAACATCATTTTTAAATAGGTTAAACCCTTGCGATAGATTGGATTGAATAGCAA